AGGGAAAGATTTCTCCAACAAATCTAGCTGACTAAACCTTTTAACCACAACCTTCCTTTGTGTACATAATGCCGCCAAAGGAACTGAATGCTCTGACATTCTGGACACAAAGGAAGTCTTCGCCACGAACGCCATGGGTGTCCAACTCCCCCAGATCCCCCTCAGTTCAGAGGGGGAAGAATGGGGAGGGAGAAACGCTGCCCGGATTGTCGTCTCTCTCCCAGAGATCTGACTCGAGTCCCTTCCAATTGGGTCTAAGAATTCCTTCACGTCCCTGAAGCCTCTGCTCAGAAAGGAGAATTTGGTTGTGGGTGAAAGAAACCTTGTCCGCACTCCCACAGGGTTCTGAGTAGCTAACCCGATCATTGGCAGCCAGAACGAGCATGAGTGAAACCCGTTACCACTAGGTGTCTTATTTTTCTATCAAAACCTTATGTAAGGAAGTGTCGCGAGACATAATGAACTTCACATAGCCGGAAACAATAGTTGAACGAACTCATTGTCTTCCTAAGGCGGTGAGTTTATCACCCCTCCAAAAGTCCACCCAATTTGTTTGTGGGAAGTGTTTCTGCTTGGGCACCTAACTTGACACAGGCGAGGTTTGATGCCCGAATTGTAGAAAACCCTAATTTTCGATACTCGACTCGCAGAAAAAATTTAAAATGGGGCTCAGACCTCAAGACAGCAAAAAACATCGAACAAGATCATTATGCGGCCGAATATCTCAATCGATCAACGCGTACTTCAGAAGGCACAAATGTCACTCGCTCGGTCGCTTCAATCGGTTGACTTTAAGCCAGCCAACTAGTCAATTACTGCTAAACTTGAAATTCCACTTGTAATGTAAATATGACATAAAATCTATACAATCAATTAGAATTTTTTTTGCATTAAAATGGTTTCTATAATATTTTTCTTCTTTTTGTAATTGTACAAAACACATCTCTATAAATACGGGGCAAAAATACGAATAAAGAGACCTCTCCCTCGATTCTATATACAAAAAATTTCAGAATTATTTTACTATCTCTTACTTCTCTCCTTCACTTGACTCTAACTCTCGGGACTTGATTCACAAATGACAAACTAGGATTCGATATATATATATATATTT